AAATTTAATTTAAAAAATCATGAAATTTTTCTTAAATGTTTCTCTCACCTAGGTGAAAATCTAATATTTTTCCCATAAACAGAAAAAGTTTATTTTGATTGATTAAAAAATTAATGTTGAAAATCCTATTTTCTATGTGAAGATAATTATTTAAATTAAGTTAAATTTTGAATTATTACATTTTCTCCTCTGATGTTTTAATTGCTCCATGGCGAGGGTACTTTAAAAATTTTCAAAGTCATTTGGATTATACTTAATGAGTTATGAAGTGGAGAGCCCCAAGGGCAAAATGGTCATTTTAGATTCTTGTGCCTTAATCAAAATTTAGGATCAATCAAATGGAAAAATGGGTAATTTTGATCTTAATGAGCATTTTTGGATGATTGAGACATAATGGGTTGAAACGTAGAAATTCCTTTGCCACCTTTCCATGATAAGAGTGAAATTATAATTTTTTAAATTATTAGGATTTGGAAGTTAATCAAAATCAAATGATTCTGAAGTGATGGGCTTAGGCTATGATGATGATAGTTTACTTATTTTAAGCCCAGAATTGATGATAATATGAATTTTTAATAAGGATATGTATCACATAAATTAAAGTTTTAATAATTGTTAATTCTTCCATTGAAATTGTTAAGGGCTTCATAGTGATCTAGACTCGATATTTAAAATTATTTGATGAGATTTAGAAAGAGAACATGATTGATGAGAAACATTTCTACGAACTGTGAGCCCATCTTTGATGGTGGGTACAAAATTATTAATGACTTAAACATTCCTTAGTGGCATTCACCTACATAGCTCTTAAATGAAATATCAATTGATTAATTGGATACCCTGTCCTTAAGACGATAAAAATGTCAAAGTTCATCGAGTAACGGGGTAATTTCAACTTGAACTTGGATAATTAATGGAACAATATGATAAGTTCAAAATGAACTCGAAATGTTTCAAGAGATATTTAACACAGTTCACATTCGATCCCCAAACGCTTTGGAATCTCTTGGATATTTCTGAGGACAAATTGAACTTGTTATATTTTATTCTAAAATCATCCACTCAGATCTTTGGGGACTCAATAAGTCTATAACTTCATTTACTCTTACCCTTTATTTAAATTTATACAAAATTATATACATGTTGCCAAAGCCAATCTTTTAGCAGAAATGCTGAAAAGATGGCAGGTATGCTTTTACAGTGTTATTTAATTTCTATCATTTTACTTTCTGCAATTTACTTTTGTTGCAAAATATTTGAGTTACTTGGTTGTGCACTTAATTTACTTGCAAAAACCAAAACCTTTTCAAAAATTAATCAACATTTTCAAAATCAAAAACAATTTTTTTCAAAGGGAACCATAAATCCTTTAAAATTGCACTAAACATAAAACGTTCTTTTAAATATACGAGAGTCCTTTAGAGGAGGTAACCCTGAGTTGTTAATGTGATCTCCTTAATTTAAATGGGTTTCACGACCCATTTAACATAAGTTCAAACAAAAATAATGATATCTAAACAAAGGAATCATGAAATCCTAACTGGTGTCACTCAAATCAACTTTAACCCCCCTTGATTGAACTTTATATTTGTCATCTAAACTCTTAAACCATAGAATTTAGGACTGCTCTTTCACCGAGTAGCCTAGAGCTAACTTTGTGGGTAGCCTTCTACAACAGCATGAGGATCTACAACAACATATATTTTCTTAGAATTAAAAAATAAGCAATAGGGTCTCGAGGATGTCTGCCTAGTGCTACATAAATCCTCAAATTTTTTCTTTAGGCCTTCTTATAGCTCTGTTATATAATTTAAGCCCTAACTCGCCTTAACATTCTGAGGTTGTCATTTGTCATGACCTAAATCCTCACATCTTTTAGGCTATTTGTGAGATTGTCTAATATAAATGTAAGCTCTAATTAATAAAATTGGTCATTCAATAATTCTTCTCTCCAAAATTGAAACCGAACCATAAGATAGTTTGGGAAGTCACCAAGGTTCTCCTTAGGATTCATGACATTATGTTGTTATGCTTCCTTTGGATTCCAAAATAAACGTTCCAAATTTAAGTCATTCCCATTTCATATTTCTTTTTTTTGATATTTTTAAAACCCTAATATTTGAATTCTTGAAGACAGTATCCCTTGATTTTTTTCGAGACTTTTCTTATGTGACTTCAGTTATCTAAGATGTAATTAACTATAGGGGCTTGCCCTTATAGGTAACTTTTGACAACCAGCTTAATATAAACCCCATTTACTTTTTTGTATTTGTCGGCACTATTTTTGGTGTAGGGTTTGCCCGTAAGAAGCCGTAGGTCATCGGAATTGAAATCCCGTTGTCTGCTTCGGAAGGACGTTTTTTTTTTTTAAAAAATTTTAATTTTGAAAAAGATGAAGTCAAACTGACCCCATAATTTTCATAGTTTAAATGAAAGAGCGCTTTACCTCAAACCCTATATCTATCCCGAAGGATGAACACAAGAATTGAGGGTGAGGCTCGATCAAATAAACTAAAGAAAGTTATGACATCCGTTTGGTCTGCAAAACCAATATATTGGCCGACAAATTCCCCTATTTAATATAAGGAATTAAATAGGGTTTATATTAGGCTGGGTTGGGGAAAAGCTTCCTATAAGGGCAAGCCCCTATAGTTAATTACATCTTAGATAATTGAAGTTACCTAAGAATACTCTCGATAGAAATCAAGGAAAAAATTATCTTCAAGGAGTTCAAATGGTAAGGACATCTCAAAGATATCAGACTAAGAAGTGTGAAAGGGGATTGGTTCAAATTTTGAACATTTTATTTTGGAGTCCAAAAGAGGAAACACTAGAGGATGCCACAGATTCGAAGGAGAACTTCAGTGACTTCCTAAGCTATCCTATTATTTGGCTTCAATTTA